TTACTATTTACATTGAAAATAATTCGCATACCTCCACGCTTATCAGCGCCTTGCTTTTCTTGTTTATTTATTTATTTTTCTGTTTCATCTCCGCTCACTCCGCACACCATAACTGGGCTTGTATCGGCTTGCACCACTTCGGTGCAATATCAAGCGCGTAAGACTAAAGCTTCTAGTATTCAGTTGTGTAGCCGACTTATCAGCTTGCGGCAGTTTCGGTTAGATTGGCCAATAAGCAACTTACGTTGACTTTTATTTTAATATTCATGTCGCAATCGCAAAAAAAATATTGTATTAGTCATACAATGTCGCGGTAGCGTGCTTGTATGCGTTGATAAGACGCCTAACTGGCGAACAGCAAGCAATTGTTCGCTTAACTGGTCAGTGCGTTGTGATAGTGGTCATCTGTGCACAAATAACTAGTAGATTTTTTTAACTAGAGTGAGTAGTAAGCAGCTAAAGTCAACCGCCGAGAAATAAGTAAAGACTTGAAATTTGTTTTGAATAACTATTAAAGATTTGTTTTTTGCTAATTAGTCTAAGTTTATTGGATAACATTGTGTATTGTTGGAGAGTGTGCCAATTAATATAGCTAATGGTTATAAATTCATAGGGCCTCATGCATAAAAAGTGAGCTTAAACTCTCAGACTCAGTTTTCGCACTGATGAAGTGAGCTCAAACTTAAGAATTTGAAGATGACCTTTTTTAAATTTATTTGACGAACAAGTAGAAATTTTTATGCACGAAAAAAGGTATTGGGAAAAATGTTCCAAGATAGATTTTTTGGGGAAATTTCCAAAGAACGTGTTCAATCGTCTTAAACGGAGCAAATAAATGAATAAGTGGATATTTTACAGTTTTTGGAAAATTTCCCATGTGGGAAATTTTTGTAAAGTAGAGTATAAAATATTGGTTAATGACTGCTTTTATTGAAAAATTCAATAATTCCCCTAAATTAAATGTGAACATCGCCCAAATATTTCATTTTGTGATGCTGTCTAGCTTTAACTAAGGAATTGAAGCAAGTTACTGCCAGTCCCTTTAACCTAAGTGATGCCAAAAATCGTATATAATGTATGTGCTGACTCCTCCAATACGCATTGTAATCATTTATAAAATATCTCCAATTAATATAAATTATTAACTGTGTATATTTACCGTCATTTACTAATTCATTACTTTACATTTTTCTCTCTTCTTGTACACCAAACACACCCGCCTCTTCACTGTCGCTTGTATGAATTTGTTATTGTTATCGCAAAATAATGCTTGTCGCACATCAACAACCCATTGCAAATTAACAATTCAATAACAAATATCTACCAAATATTTGTAAACGTAAATATCTATTTTTATAACAACCACCAATTACACCACCACCAACAAATGCAGATTCATTTGTAGAATATATGGTCGTGTTGGGAAATATGTTTTCTCCTTTATAACATCGGTTATCGATCAGTGTTGTGGTAGCGATTATAGGTAAATTTAAATGCTTTTTACTAATTTAAAATTTCTTTTTGATTTTAATACCTATATAATAATAATAATGTAATATCAGCGTAACATGGATTTCGTTAGAATGGTAATTAAGCGTAAAACAACCAGTTTTCTCTTGAAAATGATATTAAAGAATGAAATTTTTAAACGTTTTTATAAAAAGTAACCAATACCCAAAATTTTAGGGATATGTTTTAAAAGTAGTAATATTTAACATTATCAGTTATAAGCTCGTTTGGTTACTTTATCACCTTAGCTTAACTTTTTATAAAAATTTCTCTCTTGTGTTTTTTTTTTGGTATATTTTCAAAAAAGTGCTCATTTTAGGGTTAAGGCATTTGGCTAAATTCGCTTCCTTTACTACTTTAGTTTTAAACTTCTTGCAATTCTGGCGCAATTAAATATCTAGTTATACGAGAATTTTAGAAATTTATCCTCTTTCCCAAATCCATGTATCACGCTTGATATTCAATAGGAATTGGAACACCTTACTAGAAAAAGAGTAATTTTTTCCTTTTCTATCCTCCACTCGCCACAGAATTGACGTCAACTTGGCCAACCTACACATTGGCGATCGTATACTCGAGGTTAACGGCACGCCCGTGAACGACTCCTCCATCGAACACATCGACAAATTGATACGAAGCACCGAGAAAATTTTACAGCTCACCGTCGAACACGATCCTGTGCAAGTGTGCCGCAGCTGTAGTCAAGCTGACATACTCCATCGACCCACATCGTACAGTGACCTCCCGCCGTTGGCCACATCCGCGTCAAGCATTGAAGTATACGGCCGTCGCAGCGTCACAGACTCGCTCACCGGCAGCACTAGCACCAGTACTATCGCGCCACAGAGCAACAGCAGCGATTGCGGCAGCGGTGGCAGCTCACCCACACGTCTCACCAAGCAGGACAAGGAACGTATCTACAAGCGCAAGGATGAGGGCTACATAAGCGGCACAAAGACACGCCAGCTGCGCAAGTGCAAGAATCTGAATATGATTGCTGCCGAACAGGCGCTATTGACGCATACCGGTTCCACACATTCCGTTGGACCAATCGGCAGCGGTGTAGCCGGGTGCTGCGCTGTTGCAATTGGCAGTAGTGCCATCAAAGCAGCAGACTCCACACAGCTGGGCATGCGTTTACGCGATAAGGAGCGCTGCTCAAGTATGTCGAAGCTGTTGGATGAGCAGCATGCGCCCTCAGCCCAAATTTACGACTTGTCGCGCACGAAGTCGTTTCGCGTGGAGCCCAAGCCGCAGCGCATCTTCCGCGCATCTGATCTGGTGTTGGGCGAATTGCTCGGCAAGGGGTTCTTCGGGCAAGTGTACAAGGTGACGCATCGCCTTACCAAGGAGGTGATGGTGCTCAAGGAGCTCTATCGCGTCGACGAAGAGGCGCAGCGTAATTTTCTCAAAGAGGTTGCGGTGCTGCGTTCGTTGCATCACAAGAATGTGCTGCGCTTCATTGGCGTGCTCTACAAGGATAAGAAACTGCATTTGGTCACCGAGTACATTGCTGGAGGTTCACTCAAGGAACTCATACACGACTCTGGGTTGCCGCTAACGTGGCCACAGCGCATCTCATTCGCAAAAGACATTGCTTGCGGCATGAGCTATTTGCACCGCATGAATATTATACATCGCGACTTGAATTCTTTAAATTGCCTTGTGCGGGAAGATAAGTCGGTGATAGTGGCGGACTTTGGGCTGGCGCGTATCATCACAGCGCCCTTCTACAGCGCGGGTGGCGGCAGCGGCGCGACTGTAGGCGCTGGTGGAAGCATGTTAGCGGCGAATAGCGGCAGTGAACGTTGGTCTGGTGGCGCATGTCTGAGTCCGAACGGCACTCTGGGGCGCAGCAAGAGCAGGCAGCGCAGACAGCGCTACACAGTGGTGGGTAACCCATATTGGATGGCGCCGGAAATGATGAAGGGACTCAAGTATGATGAGAAAGTGGATGTGTTCTCGTTCGGCATCGTGCTGTGTGAGGTGAGTGTTTGTGAATTAAAATAAATTCAGCTGAAAATATATTTTTTCTATTGACAGATAATTGGACGGGTGCAAGCCGACCCGGATTTCCTGCCACGTACCTCCGATTTCGGTTTGAATCAGAAAGTATTTCGCGAAAAATTNTTATATATTTTTTTCTATTGACAGATAATTGGACGGGTGCAAGCCGACCCGGATTTCCTACCACGTACCTCCGATTTCGGTTTGAATCAGAAAGTATTTCGCGAAAAATTTTGCCAACAGTGCCCTGATGTGTTTTATAAAATCGCCTTTCTTTGCTGTGATCTCAATCCTGATAAAAGGTGAGTGAGAATATATGATTGCTTAGAAAAAGATATTATATTTTTTTCTTTCTCCTCCAGACCGTCCTTCGAAACACTTGAAATCTGGCTGGAAAGCCTAATGGCCTCCATCGCCGTCAACCAGTCGCTGCCCGCCGAACTGCTCTATGACATCGAAAACTACCAGGGTACCATAAGCGTTAGCAGCACGCCGGACGGCATGCTCACGCCTAAGTCGAATCGTAGCCGCGATGATCTGGACGATTTGGAAAAGCAACGAAAGCAAACACCACCGAAGCCCGCACCCGAAACACCCGCAGTTGCTGTTATCCAGCCACCGAGTGCAAGCGAGCAAATTATCAAAGAGGACAGCGATTTCAAGGACTCCCCGCGAATTGAAGGCAAAGAGAATACTGTCATACTGCGCAGCGATATGCCGAAATCGCCGCACTTGGGCAAAGATTTTTCGCCCACTGGTGAGCGCATACGTGACAGCATGCGTGCGCGTCGTCGTCAGCGCCTCATGCAAGCCGCGCAACAACGCGGTCTGACGCCGGAGAACAAAAGCACCGATCGCGTATTGGAGGCGGTGAAGCAAACGTTGCAGAACGGCGCGCGAGCTGGGACGCCGCTGAACAGCTGCAATGGCAGTGGTGCTGTAGCGAAGAAAAGTCGGCCATATGGCGAGAAAGGCTTTCTGCTGGACATTAATCGCGATGGGGACCTGCGGCTGAATAACGTCAAAGACTTAAATTATTGCTCAGATTTCGACTCCAGCTGTGACACGAGTCTCAACTATCACGAAGTTAATGCCAACGAAGATATGAAGGCGACGGATTGCGAAATGCCTGCCGCTCCCACAATGAATCGGCCGGCAGTGTTGCGTGAAGAGCGCGTTGAGGAAGAGGTACAAGTTAGCGCCGCGGAAGAGGTTGAAAAAATGCAAGAAACACAAGCTGCTAAACAGGTGTTGCTAACTGATATGCAGGTGGCGGCCGATACAATCGATGCGTCGCAGGCGTCCGATCAAATAATCACTGTGGAGGTATCCGCGCCCGCGACCGTTGGCGCCGCCACATCCAGTGAAGAAGTCGACGCCGCAACGCTGAGCACCATGCAGCAGATACA